TGCATGACACCATGCTTCCTGCCATGATGCTAATGGACTAAACCCCTGAAACTGTAAGCGAGTCCCAATTAAATGTTTTCTCTTGGTCATGGTCTCTTCAGAGCAATAGAACACTGACCAAGACTTAGTGGTTAGAAGCACTTGCTGCTCTTGCAGAAGGCCCAAGTTCAGTTCTAGCCCCCATGTCAGGCAATTTAAACCACCCACGCCTCTAGCTCCAGTGGAGCCTATGCTGTCCTGGGCACCTGCTGTATATGATATACACTCAACAGATACATTCACACACACACACACACACACACACACACACACACACACACAGACGCATGTAAACATTTTTTTTTTAAATCCTAACAAAAGCTACTTAAGAAAGAAGCATTTACTTTTAACAGTTCAAGGTTCTGTCCATTCTGAGAGGAAAAATCAGGGCAGCAGAAGCTTAAAGCAGCTGGTAGCATCACACCCATAATCAGAAAGCAGAGGGGCATGCATGGATGCTACTGCTTAGCCCCCTTTCTCCAACTTAGGTAATGACTCCACGCACAGCGGCAAGATCTTTTCACCTCCATTAATGCAGTCAAGGTACATGCCCCACCCCCAACCCCCTTTCTCCAACCCTAGGGAATGATTCCACCTGCAGTGGAGTTACACATATTTTGGTGTAACTGCAATTTTTATATTTTTTATTTGCTATTTGCATCATTTTTTTGAGTTACTACTTTTTGCCTTGTATCTCAGTCTAAATTTGTTTCTTCTTTCTCTATTGGATAGGTTGACTATTGCTAATCCAAAATGCTTATGATGAGAAGTGTTCCAGATTTTTTCCAGATTTCAGAATATTTGAGTATACATAGTGATTGTCGTGTTGTGAAGATGAGACCCAAATCTAAGCATGGAATTTTTATTTATTGATTTTCATGTGTGTTTGTGTGTGTGTGTGTGTGTGTATTTTGCTCACATGTATGAATGTGCCTGGTGCCCTCAAAGGCCAGAGGAGGGCTTTAGATCCCCTGGACTGGGGTTACAGACACTTGTGAACTGGCTTGTGGTGGTAAGGATCGAGCCCAGGTCCTCTTGAAGGGCAATTAGTGCTCTTGACTGCTGAGAAAGTCTTATTTTAATTTTATACGTACCTTATAAAGTAGCCTAAAGTCAATGTATACAATATTGAATAGTGTGCACTTTGACTTGAGGCCTAGGACAAGAGGTAGGTGTCACACAAAAGCTCTAGGAGTTTTGGATTTTGGAAGGATTGGGATTTTTAGGTTAAGGACTCTCATCCTGAATTGGCTTCTTTGCACCAATTATTTCTTACTGCTCTAATGATGGAGATGGTGCCTTTGCCCTTGGAGTTTGAAAGGAACTAAGAAACTTTGTTGAGGACCCTGCCCTCTTCCCTCTGCGCATTCTCTAACCACGGTGGATCTCCTACACACTTGAGTCATTGTGTCTATCTGCATTATAATTGTCCACATCTCCCTTCTGAGATGGAGCATTTATAATCATGTCTTGTTTTTTTTGTGGCATGAATCCCCAAGGGCTATCTGTTGAACTAGACTGTTAGAGTATGACAGAAATGCTTATAATCTGTTGTGAACATGGACATAGAAAGCAGATTCTAAATGGGACTCTAAATCAAATGCCCAGAACCCAATCCATTAACATTGTGATTCCAGTGACAATAGTCAGAAGCAGAGTTTTCCTTCCCTGCCCTCAGCTATGTTCCTAAGATCATGAGCTCTTCAGCAATGTTGGCTAACAGATAAGGCTTTAGCAATAGCAAGAGCCGTAACTGAATCATGCTGATGAAATAAACACATTAACTGTTGAGCTTGGGACAATCGACATTGACATTGCGATTGTCAATTTTTATTTTTATTTTGTTGATGACCAACTTTAATGATACATATTTTTTCTATCCTTTTTTTAGTATTTTTTAATATTAGTTAGAGTTTGTTAACTTTGTATCCCTGCTGTTTAATGATACATATTTAACTTTGAGAAACCTATGCAAACTGTCAACAACATTATCAGGGTTCCACTGTCCCAGGTGTTATTTCATTGGTACATTGTATTGGTATATACCAAGCCTTTCAAATTCAACAACACAAAACAAAACAGCTTAGTTTTTAGAAACTACAATGCTTAAAAAACTGTAAATAGTTCATTTTTACATTATTGTAAAAAAGAAGACTCACTCCTTAATGTGGCTTATTTTTAAGTGAGCAAAGCCTAGTGCTCATAGATAAAGAAAAGAATTCTTCTTTTTTTTTTCCAATTTTTCTTTATTTTATGTGTATCAGTGTGAAGGTGTCAAATCTCTTGGAACTGGAGTTACAGACAATTGTAAGCTGCCATGTGGGTGCTGGGAGTTGAACCCGGTCGTTTGGAAGAGCAGACAGTACTCTTAACCACCGAGCCATCTCTCCAGCCCAGAAAAGAATTCTTTATATGGAAACATTGTGCTCCAGTATGGCAAAGAAACACACATGCAAGGTAAAGAATAAATCAACAATTTAGATCACAAAAAAATCTTGTCCCCAAATTGAGAAGTTTATTAAAAAAAAAAAACTGTTTATATGTGGTTATTGACCTATTGAAAACCTAAATAAAAATTTCAAAACAATAATTCAGTCAAAAGTTACCATGTTTCTTAAAAACAAAATTTTGTGTAAAAAAAATTTTAGAGCTAGAAACAAGATTATCACCCAGTAGGAGGCCAAAAGAGCCACGAAAATAATCTGTTAGATTTAGTGCATGTAACCAAAAGGCACGCACACATGATTAATATATTAATATCTTTTCATGCAGAAACCTGTTTATTTTTATTTTATGTGAATTGATGTTTTGCCTGCATGCATGTCTGTGTGAGGGTGTCAGGTCCCCTAGAACTAGAGTTACAGACTGATGTGAGCTGTCATGTGGGTGCCAGGGTATGAAACTGGGTCCTCAGGAAGAATAGTCAGTGCTCTTAACCACTAAGCCATCTCTCCAGGCCCAAAATTGTCAAATTTTTAATTTCTTGTTGTTTCCATCAAAATCATTCACTTTACCTGTAATCAATATAGTGTATGCTTAGATAGTGTATGTCTTTGATAGGATCATTATCATCATCATTATTTGGCTTTTTGAGACACGGTTTTTCTATATTGTCCTGGCTGTTCTGGAATTAGCTTTGTAGATCAGGATGGTCTCATACCCCAGAGATCCACCGGTCTCTGCCTCCTGAGTGCTGACTAAAATTGTGTGCCACCATGCCTGGCAATAATTCTCAAATAGAAAAATTAAATTTCCATTCAAAATAAAACTATGAAAAAAAATCTAACTATCTGGAAAGTATTTGTAAAATTGGCTGATTTCCACCAACAATGAAATCACAAAATATATATCTTAAATATATATATATCTTAAAATAAATATATATCTTAAAATATCTTAAACAGTTATAAAAAGAGAGTTTTTTGGGGTGAGGATGTGTTGAGCCCATTATTCCTTGTGGCCCAGGCTGGCCTCAAACAGAGTTCCCAGAACCTTCTAAGAGTTTAGGTTTATAAAGGACTCTTAAGGATTGCATTGGGTGCAGAAAACGAAAATTTAGAGTAATTTATATCATTTATGTGAGCCTATGTGAGTTTACATGCACCACATTCGGTACATGTGTTGGATTGATTTCCTGAAGTTAAAGGTGGTGGTGAGCTGCCAGCGGAGACACAGGAGACTGAACCCTCTTCTTTTCAAGAGCAGTAAGCACTCTTAACCACTGAGCCATCTCATCTCTCCAGTCCTTATAGGAAACGTTTGCTAACATTTTATACAGCCTTTACTACCGTATCAAGGTCCTCCCAAAACCCAGCAAGGTTTCTCTGTGTAGCCTTGGCTTTGTAGAACAGGCTGGCCTCGCCTGCCTGCTTTTGCCTCCCAGGGTGCTGGGATTACAGGTGCGCGCCACGGAACCCGGCTTCAAGTTAATTTTTATACTCTACAAATAGGCTTTTGGTTTGGTTTCTTCCTTGATGCCTTCCCGCCCCCATCCCATTCTGCTTTCTTTCGCTCACATTCCTAATGATCTCCAGGATGTCAAAAGCCAAACCCTGTTTCCTGTTTCTTGAGAGCCTTCTCCCGCTTGGCCCCGGTCTGCTGCTTTTGCATTAGTTAGGGATTCCGCGATACCGTGAGCACATCGCGATAGAGCAGAGCAACCAGCAAGGCTTTCTTTCTGTAAATCAAAACATCCGTGGCAGCGACTGCATAGTGCACGTTTGAAGGACATCAAAAGCACCCTGCGATTCAAATCGTCTTTCTAGGGATGTCTAGACCTGGCCTTTGTGCACTTCCAACAGTCCGCCCTCCTTTAAAGTTTCACCACGCTATTCTGTTAAGATGGTCTGCTCAGATCCGTGCTAACTTAACCCGCGTATAAATGCCACGTGCACGTGCGTGTTGCCTGCGTGTGCGCACTCGCAGCGGTAGCCGGCCCTGGCGCCCAGCTTTGGAGGGAGAGCATCCATCCATCCGAGCTCCAGGCATCCCGAGCCTGCCCATCTTGGTCTCGGGAGCGCTGGATGTGATCTTGGAAGGGGCTTCAGGGCTCCTGTAGCGAAAGAGACACAGCCTCCTTCTAGGCGCAGAAAAGGTGAGGGTGTGCGAGCTAAAACCTTCTTCCTCTGTCTTCTTGATGAAGCAGGAGGGTGATTTCCCGGGCAGGAGGCCGAGCTTTCTCAGGCCATCTGCGCGGGGACGCAACAGGGTTCGCGAGTTGGGTAGGCTCGTCCAAGCCACTGGGCTGGCTTTGTTATTCACACCGGCGACTTCCAAGGCATCTGACTCCAACAGGAGGCCGAGCCGGACACTTCCTCACACTCATTGGAAGGGGAAGAGGGTGACTCATGTTACACGGGTCCGAGCTTCCCTCCCCTTAGCTGGTAGCTTTAAAAGGAAGTGACATGGGTGGGGAGAGACGTCAGCCGAGGACCACCTTTTTTTTTTCCCCTTCCCGAAGGGCCCACCCCTTTGGGTGGAGTCTGGCTTTTTCTTTCCAGTGTTGGCTGACTTACAGCTTCTGTAAAGTAGAGGCAGTTTCTGAACCCTAGGCTGCTGCCTCGCAGTTCTGGCTAGAGAGCGCCAATGCAAAAGGCTGCTGAGCTCGAGGTAGGTGTTCTTGCGGTTTCCAGGCACCTTCTCCTGGGGTGGGGCGTGCGATGGTCGGATGCCCTTCTCTGGAAGGCTTCCCTCTGCTCGGCTGCTTTTCCTAGGACTTTGGAAGGGATAAGCTCGGAGCGAGCCGGGAGGCTGGTGGGGTGGGGGAGAAAGATGCACGGGGAAGGAGGAACACAGGGCTTCGCCCAGGACCACTGCTTTGTGCCGGCCTGTGCGATGCCTTTTGGGGCTCATCAAGTAGCCCTCCCAGGGTGGAAGCGTTTTTTTCTTGACCACCAGTGAAACGGTAGAGAATCCTCCTATATTACACATACGGGCTCTCTTTTGTGTTCGTGCAACACGTTCTTCTGTCTCTGACGTTTCTATGGCAACCGCAAAAATATACCCCACAAAATACAGTCCCGATCTAAATTGATTTATTTGTATTTCTTTCCCGGGTTTGGCCTGGCTGGGCCTCGCTGGAGCGCGCGGCGTGACTCTGTAGACAACCCCCTCCTCGTTTTCATTTTGGTTTTTCCCTATCGCAGAAGGGCTGGGGGAGGGGAGTTGTCAAGGAAACAGGCATTTGTAATCACCGCTTTATTTACTTAAATGTAAGCTTCTGGGTTCTCCATCAGCTGTCGGAATTTTTTAAGGGAGTACTTTGATGTTTATGAAGCTCTCCAGCATTTCGGGCAGTTTTTTAAAAACTTAAATATTTCTTAAGACATGATATTGAACAAGCTAAGAGGGGAGGGAAGGTTTAACTCTTTCCCGGAGGATAAGGCTTTGAAATAAAGTTTCGGAAAGTGCCTGTTAATTCACATTGGTAAATAAGTTATCAACTGCTCAGCTTGCCCACAATTCTTAACAGGTATGAGATGAGTCTTGGCTCTGCTCTCAACTTCATTTAGCCACAAATCAAAGTTCGGTTAGTGAAAGAAATGCTAACTACCCAGCAGGGTCTAAGGTGGCCTTACCCTGCTCTCACCCGGATTCCCCAGTGTTTATTCTCCAGTCTTTCCAAACCTGGCCAGGACCTGCTCATCTGAAGTTACCAGTCCATATCTTCTAGGAAAAAAAGAAGTTATCTCAAGGGGAGGGAAACCACGTGGGGATGTGTGCCCGTGAGTCTCTGTGAATGGAGGATGGGGGGTGGGGAGTTCCTGTTTGAGAGAGAAAAAAAAAAATCAAGTTTCAAGTTAAAGGTCTGATATTCCCCTAATCCACATGGGGAGGGGAAAAAAAAAAAAAAAAACTTCAGAAGAAAATTGCCACCTACCAGGTGATAAGCAGAAGTGGCTAGAAGGAGAACAAAATAGCTCATTGCTTCCAGGGCAGCCCAGTCAGGCCCATTAGCAGGTGTGGCTTCAGGTGCTGGTGATACTCTGCACATCTGAAGAAAGCCTTATAATGGACCCTCTGCTTGTAAAGTGCTCTCTCAATACCAGAATTATCGCTTTAATGGTACTGCATTCCTGAGATTATCTATAGTAAGAATTGAAAAAGCCTCAGGCTATTAAAGCCCAAACCATAGCTTTGAACCCAAGTCCCTTGAGGAAGGGCCAGTAGTTTCTAGAATATTCCTTACCTAATTGATGTTATCTCTTAAAAACTGCCTTTAAAAACTGACTCTGGAGGTCTTAAGCATTTCAGATACAAAAGTTACCTGCAAATGGGTAAAGAGCACTGCACAAAATGGGGGGGCTGAGGCTGTTGCTTGGTGGTAGGAAACTTGCCCAACATCCCCAGAAACCCTCAAAACAAACACATCTAACTAGAGAAAAAAAAAAAAAACGGAGTTAAAGACCAGAGAACTAGGTGAAGGGCACAGAGCGTAAAAACTTATTCAAAAGACTGACTCGACTTTGCTTTTGCCAATCACACACCAAGCACATGTTAGCATGCTTGGAGACAAGCCAGTGGACTTTTAAAGCACAGTCAGACTTTTTAAAGCACATGAGTAGTTTGCAAGTCATGGTCTGTCACTCCTGTGTCCATTCACAGCAAAAACCCAAACCCAATCCAAAGAGAAAATAGCAGACAGCCAAATAGACAAAACCGCCCTCTGATATCCAGATAGAGTGACATGTTTGAGCTGTGGGAGATGGCTGGAGCTCTGTACCCCACGGTGACTCCCAGAAGGCCAGGCTCTGACATGGCCTTGGCTGTAAGAGGAGTTGGTGAAGGCAACACTTTATGTAGCAGCTGCTGTGTTCTGAAGGGAGGACTGGTGGGCAGGGGAAGAGGCGAGCTCACCAATGAGTGGCTCTTGATTTAGAGATGAAGTCCATGGCTAAGCCTGGCTTATTAAACCTCCAACGTTAGGGGAGCCTGGATGAGTCCAGTTCAGCGGTTTTAATCGACACGGAGTCAATTTGGAAAGCCAACATTAGCCTCTGAAACTTGGTTTCCAGTGAGTTCTGGGGATGGCAAGCGTTTCACCAGGGCTGCTGGAAAGAGGGTTCCCGCTAGGCCCGTTCTTGTGACTTGCAGTTACTGTGTGTCTACTGTGTGTCAGGGGCTATGGACACAACTCAGTTAAGCAGTTACAGTTTTAAACCAAGTGAAGGGTTGTTAAGAGAGTTCAAAGACCGGCCATCTGTGTTTTCCTTCTAACGGCAAAATAGAGAAAACATCGAAAGTGAGAGTGGTTTGTGTTGAACATGCTTCCTCCCCGCCCCCCCAGAATGTACTCTTGTATCACAAATATTTCTTGCCTGTTTGTTCACTCATTTCTTTTGTTCCAGTGTCTTCCTAGACTCTAAGGCCTGTTAGTGTCCATTTACTCATTGACTTTTGTGCATACTTTCATCTATCCTGGTTGTCCAGCATCTCCTCATTTATTCAAATTCATTCCTTGAACAGCATCAAGTACCATGTTGGTAGCTCTGTGTGCTGTGAATATACGCTACCGAAGCTTCTCAGGACCTGGCACGGAGACCATGGAAATACTGATAGAAGCAATTATTTGCAAATGGCCCTCAATGTTGTTTCTACAAACAAGTTTTTAATGTAGATGGCTCTGGCCAGTGGGGGAGGAAGTGGTTGACTGTAGACTCTCGTCCCACTTTAAGTTTTCTTGTGCTTTCTTTATCAGTTTCGTGTAAGTCTAGGAAACATCTGTTAATTAATAAAATGGGAGGAAATGGAATTCTGAGTGCTGGAGAATAAAGACTGTGTAGGGGGAGATTGGGTATTCTGCACTTCATGGGGACTGTGGCTTTTCTCGGAAGATAGAGAATATACGCTTCTTGTTTTGTTTTGCTTGCTTTTCATTTTAGTCAATGTTGATTGGTTCACTGAAGCTCTTTGGAGCTTTCTTTCCGTTACACAGTGATAGCCCATGTGGTGCCAAGAGAGACAAGCGTAGCAGTAGCAGCTCACCTCAGGACCACGGAGCATCCAATTACCTCTGTGCTACCTCAGTTTATATCCTGGTGCCAGGAAGTTCTCTCAGTAGACTGATTTAACCCTAGGTTACCTCTTCCTTCAGCCTGGATGTGACATGGCAGTATGACAAAGTTCACCAGGGAAAACAGCCTCCTCTGACTGGCTGACCTTGGGAGAGAACATTCAGCAAGTCCTCCGTTCTCTTTGTTATTTTAATCTCGGATGAGATTAGCCTCTGCTGGTCCCCTGCTGGCTTTAGACACAGCAGTCTTGTCCTGAGTGTTCCTCCTCTGGGTCTGTGAGGAAAGGAGTACCTTTGGGCTTCATGGTGCTTTGAAGCTGCCACTGACAGCCTTGCAGGAGATGATTCCTCCCTCAGCCTTGGGGGTGACTGGTGACTTGTAGACACCCTGATGGGCCTGGCCATCACGTAGGATCCATGAGCATGCCAGGGGCCCAGCTTTGCTGACGGCTTCCTGAACTGCACATGCACCAGTTTGATTTGTGCTCATAACAAACGTACACGCAAAAACCATTGTCACCGTCCGTTGTGCCACAAGGATTAGCAAAATGAAGGAGCTCAGTTGGGACCGTAAGAAGCAGCACTGAGGTTTGAACTCGTATTCCTGCTTCACAGAGCTTTCCCTCTGAGCAACAGACGACACCTCCCTTCCTGGTCTGGTGACTCCTCAGCCCCAGTCCCAAGCCAAGAGCCTAACGCAGTGGTTCTCAACCTTCCTAACACTGCAACCTGTAATCTAGTTCCTGATGTTGTGGTGTCCCCCAGTCATAAAATTGTTTCCATTGCTATTTCATAGCTGTAATTTGTAATGAATTGTAATGTAAATATTTTTGGAGATAGGGGGTTGCTGAAGGGGCTGTGACTTACAAGTTGAGAACCACTGGCCTAGAAGATGGTGGACATACAGGTTGTTTGTTTGGTTGGTTGGTTGTTTTGAGACAGGATTTCTCTGTGTAGCCTTGGCTGTCGGGAAACCCATTTTATTTATAGACCAGGCTGGCCTGGAACTCAGAGATTCGCCTGCCTCTGCCTTCTCAGTGCTGGGATTAAAGCTGTGGGCCACCGTTCCTGGCCCCAGTGATGTTCTTTTCATGCAGTGCTTAGAGATGGACTCCCCATCCCTGCTGTGTGCACCTAGGAAAAGCCAACTGAAATACATCCCGGCCAAAGGAAAAGAGGTGTTTATTTTGAAAACAAATCCCTATCCTATAGATCTCTCCTCACGCGTCTTTCATACTTATTTTTAAGTCCACAGAAATGCTGTGGGACGGAGCAGTGTTTTAGAAGTTGGAGAAACAGCGTGTGTAAGAAAAGCAACTGTCATTTCCAGAGTGTTGTAGGTTTCTGGGAGTTGGTGAGGGCAGGGAAAGGGATCCGTGATAAAAACAGCTGAAAGACCTGCTCTCAAGACCAGTGTTCACCCAAGGAGCAAGGCTCATGGAATGGCTTCTAATACAGACCCCCACTGCTGCCCTCATCCTGCAGTCCGTGCATGGATGGAGCTCAGCTTTCCTCCTTGTTTTCACTTTTGTCACCCAGTTTAAAAGGCAGATCATCATCCGTGAAGATGCTCCTGGGCTTCATCTCACACAAACTT